AACTCCACCTTAGACGATTCCCACTCTATCCCTCCTACTCCTCCTGCTCCTCCTAATGAACCTGTGCACTTTCCTATAGTCTCCACTTGTAAGGTTGCTGGTGTGTTATCCAGGTTGGATGTGAGTAAGGCGTGTGGACCGGACGGAATACCCCCTCGTGTTCTGAGGGAGTTTGCTGAAGCTCTGGCCCCTGTGCTTGTTAGCTTCTTTTGCCTTTGCCTCAAAAACCAAACTTTTCCTTCTTCGTGGAAGCATGCCTTGGTTCAATCCATCCCGAAGAAGGGTGACCATTCTAATCCCTCTAACTATCGCCCCATTGCCCTAACTTCATCCCTCTCTAAGATTTTTGAAACTACCTTAAACTCTCATTTTCTCCGTCACCTTGAACGCCATTCTCTTTTGTCGGATCACCAGTATGGCTTTCGCCAGGCGAGATCTACTGGTGATCTGCTCTCCTACTGCACCCATCTTTGGTCATCCTCTCTTAGGGATTATGGGGAAGCTTCGTCGTGGCCCTCGACATCTCCAAAGCATTTGACAGGGTATGGCACAAGTCTTTGCTTTCTAAACTCCCCTCTTATGGTTTCTTTCCCCGAGTTTCTTTTCTAATTTCTAGCTTCCTTGAGAACCGATCCACGGCAGTTGTTGTCAGGGGATTGATCTCTCGCTCTTTCTCTACCAGTAGTGGTGTCCCACAGGGTTCTGTTCTTTCACCTACTCTCTTCCTTCTTTTTATCAATGGTTTACTTCACACTTCAACTAATTCTATCCATTCTTACGCTGATGATTCTACTCTTCACATTTTCCCCTGCCTCCTAACTCTCAAACTAGAACTGTTTTTAGAGCTGATATCATTTCAATTATCAATGCGGATCTGTGCAACATCTCCGTATGGGGAGATAGAAACTTGGTTAAATTCAGTAGTAACAAAACACAGTATTTACCAATAACACTACAAAATGGAAGATCTCACACCAATCACATTTCAGGACACATTCATTCTGCCAAATTCTAAAAAGATGTGCTAGGCCTCACCATTTCCTCTAATATGTCATGGAAGCCACACATCCTCAACAAGGCTAAAGCTGCGTCCCGAAAATTGGGAATGCTGTACAGAAGCCGTAGCTACTTCACTCCTGAGCAGTTGCTTCAAGTATATAATGGATTCATTCGTCCTAACTTGGAGTACTGCTCTCATATCTGGGGTGGCTCTTTTTCTGTCCAACTGTTAGATAGGGTGGAATCAAAGGCATTTCGTCTTATTAACTCTACTCCTTTAGTTGACAATCTTTTTTCCCTTTCTCTTCGCTGCAATGTTGCTTCACTCTCACTTTTACAGTTACTTTAACGGGCAATGTTCAGTGGATTTGGCATCCTGTGTACCGCCGGCAAGGCTGAGCGCTCGTAACACATGTCTTGCCCGCGGTGCTCACCATTTCTCTGTGGATGTCAGTCACACTTGAATAACCTGTTATAGTACCCCCTTCTTTCCTCACACAGCCAAACTGTGGAATGCTCTGCCTTCTTCTGTGTGTCCCATAAATACTTTTGAGTATGTGGCCCCTATACTGTACTGTACTGTTCTGTACACTACTGTACTGTACACTGCTGTTCTGTACACTACTGTACTGTACACTACTGTTCTGTACACTACTGTACTGTACTGTATTATACTGTACTGCGCTGTATTTTACTGTGCTGTACTATATTGTACTACACTGTGCTGTACTATATTGTACAGTACTGTACTGTACATTGCTGTACTGTACTGTGCTGTGCTGTATTGTTCCCTACTGTACTGTACTGTTCAGTACTTTACTGTACCATACTTTACTGTACAGTACTGTATTGTACTGTACTGTGTACTATACTGTGCTGTACTGTACTGTACTGCACTGCACTGTACTGTACTGTACTGTACTGTACTGTACTATACTGTACTGTACTGTACTATGCTGTACTGTATTACACTGTACTGAAATATGCTGTACTGTAGTGTATTACACTTTACTGTACTATATTACACTGTACTGTATTATACTGCACTGCATTGTATTACACTGTACTGTAATGCATTACTGTACTGTATTACTGTACTGTACTGTATTGTACTGTACTGTACAGTACTGTGCAGCACTACTGTTCTCTACTGTACTGTACTGATCTACTGTACTGTACCATACCATACTGCACTGCACTGTACTGCACTACTGTTCTGCACTGTACTGTATTGTACTGTACTTCTGTACTGTACTGCACTGCATTACTGTATTGTACTGCACTACTGTACTGTACTGTACTGTACTGTACTGTACTGTACTACAGTACTGTACAGTACTGCACTACAGCACTGTACAGTACTGCACTACTGTACTGTTCTTTACTGTACTACTGTACTGTACAGTATTGCACTACTGTACTGTACAGTACTGCACTACTGTATTGTACAGTACTACTGTACTGTACTGTACTGCACTACTGCACTGTACAGTACTGCACTACTGTGCTGTACAGTACTGCACTACTGTACTGTACTTTACTGCACTTCTGTACTGTACTTTACTGCACTACTGTACTGTACTTTACTGCATTACTGTACTGTACAGTACTACTGTACAGCACTGTACTGCACTACTGTGCTGTACAGTAGTGCACTATTGTACTGTACTTTACTGCACTACTGTACTGTACTTTACTGCACTACTGTACTGTACTTTCCTGTACTGTACTTTACTGCACTACTGTACTGTACAGTACTGCACTACTGTACTGTACAGTACTGCACTACTGTACTTTACTTTACTACACTACTGTACTGTACTTTACTGCACTACTGTACTATACTTTACTGCACTACTGTACTGTACAGTACTGCATTACTGTACTGTACAGTACTGCACTACTGTACTGTACTTTACTACACTACTGTACTGTACTTTACTGCACTACTGTACTTTACTTTACTGCACTACTGTACTGTACTGTACAGTACTGCACTACTGTACTGTACAGTACTACTGTACTGTACCATATAATATAATATAATAATAACGGTGATAATTAATAATAATAATAATAATAATAATAATAATAATAATAATAATAATAATAATAATAATAAAGAGCTATAAAGATACAGTAATACCCCGATTTACGCGGTCAGTTGAACCCCCAGAGGTCCGCGTAAAACGAGAAACGCGCAAATGGAATAACAGAACATATGGGATTAATTGAAATAGAGACTGGGCCGACTCCCAAACTCCACTTTTTCCGACACAATACCTATGTTCTAGTAAAAATAACATCTTAGTTTTATGATGGTATGCACACACAATTAATATTTAAGAGAAATACATTCGCCAGGTTAATGTCCATTCAAATAGTGGACTCAACTCCCCCCCCCCCCTTCCCACGCTCGCTGGCTGCTCCCTCTCCGAGAAATGTTTGGGTGAAAACACTAGATTTTAAGGTATAGTAATAAATAATACCTCAAACTAAAGTTAGGATAATATAATTGACATTGCTGGATTCCTTGCAAGGCCAGGAATATTTTGAATATGCACGTCATATATTTTGCACAAAAGAAACATATTTGCTCAGAGTAAACAAAATTCTTACATTAGATCTAAAATTTGTTTAAAATCTATGATGTTTATATTCAAAATGATCATCATATTGTAAGAATTCCAGCAATGTAAATTATATTCTGGCTGGGTAATTTGTATGAATTTTATCCGTTAAATAAAAAAATTATGCTTCACCTGCGTATATGAGTAGATGCACCTCGTAAAGTGGGAATTCCGGTTTTGGCAGGGTACCCCGTAAATGTAGAAACGCGTACTGGGTAAACGAAAACCGCCCAAAGCGGGGTATTACTGTATACAAAAAAAGATCAATACAGTGGTCCCCCGGTTAATGAACACAATTCGTTCCAGAAGGTCGTTCGTTAACCGAATTTTTTTTTAACCGAAACTATTGTTTCAGTGGGATTTGGGGTAATTGGTTCCAGCTCACCAAAAAATACATACAAAGTTAAAATAAATGCAGTAAAGTACACTTACTTTGAAATGTGTATGTACTGTAGAAGGCTCCTGGTTGATGATGATGATGATGGGAATTAGAAGTAGGGGTGGAGGAGAAGGGAGAAGAGAAGGAAGTGGGGGTGGAAGAGAAATCACCCCATGCTTGATGCTGTCATTTCATCCACAAAATTTTAAGTTCACTTGGTGTAATTCAAGATTATTTTCTTTAAATCAACACTGCACTGCACTATATATTGTCAATATGTAATATAAATTTCAGAATGACCAATAATTGTACGGTAAACACGAAAAAATAGTTTATGTTCAAGAGAGTCTCAAGGAAGATGTTCCCTCCACTGACCTGAGATACAAACAGAGGCTTTGCTGGGTGAGTCAAGTGGCTGATTGGCGCACCAAAAACTAGTTTCCTGTACTCCAATTATGTTAAATAAGTGTTAAAATGACTATAAAATTTAATATAAAACTTGGAAAATTATTTAATTGTACAACCTTCTTGATATTTACTCAAATGGGAACGAATTTAAGCCTTAGAACCGATTACTGTATTGGTGGGCTAATATTCCAGCTGGTGAGCAAGCAAAAACATGTTGAAGATTCTTATGGAAGGTAATTCGTTAACCAAAAGTTCGTTAACCGAGGTGTTCGTTAACCGAGGGATCACTGTAGTGAGAAATAATATATGTACTCTTATGTTGTGTTGTCAAAGTAAGAGAAACAATTGAGACCCTACAATTGTGTGTAAATGAGACAGAAAGTCACATCATCAACCTGGGACTTGGTCACATATGGCAGCAGGGTCTACCATTAGACAACACATTGTGCTTCCAATATCTTCCCAGGCGGTAGTACCTCCCTGTTTGGTAGCTCCCTACCTAAAACTGTGATTAGTGAAGTTGCATACAGTAATTAGTTCATGATGAATAGAAGATGATAATAGTTTTTGTGTTTTTTTTCCAGTGAACAGGAACCCCCACCCTCCATGCTTCAGCTGCATTCCATAGCTGACAAGGAAGCTGGTTGGCTGGTAGTTGTACGCTCCATGGTGCAGGTGATCCCCCTCAATGATCCCCTCGGGCCAGCTGTCATCACGCTCCTGCTGGATGACTGTCCACTACCAAGCAAGGTCTGGAACAGAACCCTTGCATAGGAGAAGCACTGCCTCTACTTGTACAGTACAGCTCCTCCCTGACTTACGACCTACTCTACTTACAACCACCCGGACATACGACCGCCTCAGTCGTACCAAAATTTTGTCAAATTACGTATTTTCGAGTCCCAACGTCAGTGATTGCGCTGTGTACTGACAAAATTTTTGTTTGTAATTCACTTTAAAATGGCTAGCAAGCTTAAAAGTGAGAGTTTTTTGTGCTGAGAAGAAAAAGAGACACCCATTTTAGATTTTCTATGTATTATTTAAGCATTTTCGACTTACGACCTAGATTTGGGTCCCTAACCCCGTCATCAGTCGAGGAGCAGCTGTACTTGCAATTTTGAACATTCATAATAAATATAAAAGAAAATGGATTATCAAGGGTCTACACCTTTACTGAAGCAGGATTATAACTACTTGTGATTACAAATAATAGAAGTTATAATGTATTACTTAAGAGTACTATTTAGGGCAAGATGTTGATGACTGCACAGTAGTTACAAATATTTTCTTTCTGCAGGAGACTGTAGTTCATCTGTGCAAGTTTTTTGAGCTGAGCAGTGACAGTGCAGAGGAGGGTTGGAAAGACCCGCGTGTTCATCGCAACATTTGTGTGGTGTTGGGGTGTATCGCTGAGAAGCTTGCTGGTCCAGCCTCCATTGCTCTGCTCACCCACACCACCCTGGAGTACTTGGTGGCCCACCTGGTGAGTCACTTTACCTCCCACAACCAGTGACCCAACCCTTGTTAACCTACACTAACAACCATTGTTAACAACCAGTAACCCAACCCTTGTTAACAACCAGTGACCCAACTCTTGTTAACAACCAGTGACCCAACGCTTGTTAACAACCAGTGACCCACCGCTTGTTAACAACCAGTGACCTAACCCTTGTTAACAACCAGTGACCCAATGCTTGTTAACAACCAGTGACCTAACCCTTGTTAACAACCAGTGACCTAACCCTTGTTAACAACCAGTGACCCCAACCCTTGTTAACAACCAGTGACCCAACGCTTGTTAACAACCAGTGACCTAACCCTTGTTAACAACCAGTGACCCAACGCTTGTTAACAACCAGTGACCTAACCCTTGTTAACAACCAGTGACCCCAACCCTTGTTAACAACCAATGACCAAAACATTCGTTAACCTACACTAACAACCATTGCCAATCCTCTAAACCAGGGGTCCACAACCTCTATACAGTAGTCAACCACTTAATGGTACAAGTAATCAGTGATTGCCCGCAGGTGTACTAAGCCAACATAAGTCAGCACTGTGTTCCACAGAACTGAATGTAAAATCTTAATGCAGGAATATATTTTATTGTCAGACAATTGTTATAAACAACACTGATATTTAACACTAAACAAAGCTTTCGTTTTCACCATATTCAGTACAGTGATCCCTCGGTTAACGAAATTTCGGTTAACGAATTACCTTCCATAAGAATCTTCAATTCGGTTAACGAACATCAATTCGGTTAACGAACAACAATTCGGTTAACAAAATTTTTACGAAATCATGTCAACATGTTTTCGCTTGCTCACCAGCTGGAATATTAGCCCACCAATACAGTAATCTGTTCTAGGGCTTAAATTCGTTCCCATTTGAGTAAATATCAAGAAGGTTGTACAGTTCAATAATTTTCCAAGTTTTATATTAAAATTTTTTAGTCATTTTAACACTTATTTAACGTAATTGGAGTACAGGAAACTAGTTTTTGGTGTGTCAATCAGCCACTTGACTCACCCAGCAAAGCCTCTGTTTGTATCTCTGGTCAGTGGAGGGAACATCTTGCTTGTTTCTCTCTTGAACATAAACTATTTTTACGTGTTTACAGTACAATTATTGGTTATTCTGAAATTTATTTTACATATTGACAATATATAGTGCAGTGCAGTGTTGATTTAAAGAAAATAATCTTGAATTACACCAAGTGAACTTAAAATTTTGTGGGTGAAATGACGCCATGAAGCATGGGGTGAGTTCTCTTCCACCCCCACTTCCTTCTCTTCTCCCTTCTCCTCCACCCCCTCTTCTAATTCCCATCATCATCATCATCAACCAGGAGCCTTCTACATACACACCTCAAAATAAGTGTATTTTACTGCATTTATTTTTACTTTGTATGTAATTTTCGGTGAGCTGGAACCAATTACCCAAAATCCCATTGAAACAATGGTTTCGGTTAACAAAATTTTCGGTTAACGAACGACCTTCTGGAACGAATTGTGTTCGTTAACCAAGGGACCACTGTACATACGCTGCCTTGAAATAATAGCACTAGTCACTAGCCTATACTGTTTCCGCACTAACCTTACCCATAAGCCATACCCCTTGTCTATAGCTACGAATAGCTGATTGGTTCAAAGAAAATGTTCATGTAGCTGTACATTTATTCAGACTAAATGTGTTCACAATTGGTAATGAGACCTGTTATAATCTAAAATATTGTTAAATATCTGGAATATCAAAATGCAAATGATTACAATGCATTACCACTACAGTGAAGGAGGTTAGAAAATTTTAAATCCAGTAATACTTCATCTCCGTTAGCCATAATCCCTCAAACCCGGAAATGTCCGATAGCCAGAATTGAAATTTGCTCGGAAAATCATTCCCAAAGCTGGAATTTTCCCAAAATTTCTGGCTTTGGGAACAAATTTTCCATGGTTGAAAATCGAGAGAATTTTCTGAAAATGTCTTGATTAAAACCGAAAGTTAAAGTATTTTTTTTTGGGAGGACCTGACCTGACTTGACACAATGTCAGGTGGAGGTAGGGTGGGGGATTAGTGGTCTCATATTACTGACCTCTGATGGAATGTCAGGTCACCCTTTCTTGGGTGGGGGATTAGTGGGTCTCATGACCTGAAGATGTCTTGAATAAACACAAAACCTAAAGTAATTTTAGGGAGATTGTGATAAGTATAAGTATAAATGAGCAAAGTTGTATCCCTTCAACATTACATTACATAACATTTTAAAATGTGGAGTGAGAAGGCAGAAAGGTGTAGGTGATTAGAAGGAAGAGAGTAGGTGAAAGAACAGAGCCCTCTGGGACACCACTATTGGTAGATAAAGAGCGAGAGATCAATCCCACGACAACAACTGCCATGGATTGGTTCTCAAGGAAGTTAGAGATTAGAGAACAAAGTGGGGGAGAGAAACCATAAGAGGGAAGTTTGGAAAGCAAAGACTTGTGCCATAACCTGTCAAATGCTTTGGAGATGTCGAGGATCACGACGAAAGTTTCCCCATAATCCCTAAGAGAGGATGGCCAAAGATGGGTGCAGTAGGAGAGCAGATCACCAGTAGATCTCGCCTGGCGAAAGCCATACTGGTGATCCGACAAAAGAGAAAGGTGTTCAAGGTGACGGAGAAAATGAGAGTTTAAGGTACTGTAGTTTAAAAAATCTTAGAGAGGGATGAAGTTAGGGCAATGGAGCAATAGTTAGAGGGATTAGAATGGTCACCCTTCTTCCAGATGGGCTGAACCAAGGCATGCTTCCAAGAAGAAGGAAATGTTTGGGTTTTGAGGCAAAGGCAAAAGAGGAGAGCAAGCACAGGGGCCAGAGCTTCAGCACACTCCCTCAGAACACGAGGGGGTATTCCGTCCAGTCCATTCGCCTTACTCACATCCAACCTGGATAACACACCAGCAACCCTATGAGTGGAGATTATAGGAAAGTGCACAGGTTCAGTAGGAGGAGCAGGAGTAGGAGGGATAGAGTGGAGTTAGAGGAGAATAAGGTGCCAAAGAGATTGGCATTATCAGGGGGAGAGTTGGCTGTGGAGTATCAGTGTTCAAGATCACATGGTCATATATCACCATTATCTGGGTTAATATTAACACTACTATAGTCTTCAAGATCACAACATCATATATCACCATTATCTGGGTTAATATTCATAATTTTGCAGAAATATTTAGTTTGTGTTAATCCAAACTTGGTTATAGTCACTTTTATATTACCAGGTTGTTAGTATACAATACACACAATACAGTATAGAAATGTGGAATTATCTCTCCCTCAAGTACTGTAATGCTTCTTTATAAAGAAAAATATTCTTTATTTATATGCAAACATTTAAACATAATTTTTATGAAATAAAATGTTGTTTGATAATTATTTTGTTCCCACAGAGTGAAAACAACCATCCCTGTGTCGTCCTTTTTGCTCTCATCGCCCTTGAAAAATTTGCCCAAACCAGTGAGAACAAGACTAGTATTGGCCAGTGTCTTGGTCACAGCCTGTGTAACCCCCTGAGGACTCTGGAGACTTGGATGACTCACACGGATTATGTTCACCGCCAAGTTGGTTTCTGCGCTCAGTGGTGTCTGGACAACCTGTGTGAGTTATTATCATCAGACATGTTAGTACAGGAGACAGTAGTTTACAGAGTTAAGTTGTGGATGACACCATTAAGGTGTCAAGACAAGTCTATCAGAAAAAACCATAATTTTCACTGTCAACACAAGTCTGGAGGCAGCTGGAATACACATGGGAAAGTTGTTAATACTTATTGATGTCATAGTAAGGAAGATATATTTATTATATATAAATGACCAAGCCATAATATAAGGGGAAGGTCTCTCCTGGCAGATACAACTACACCCCACTACTGTCACCTAGGAGAAAAATATTGTTCTGCTTGTATATACAGGTTGACAATCCCTTATCCGGAATCCTTGGGGCCAGAGGCATTTCGGATTTCGGAATTTTTCGGTTTTTTAGAATGGTTAGTTTTTTTTTTTCTTAATGTGTATTAGCCCACCCGGGCATAGATCACTGACCCACATCAGGGCCTGGGGGGCGAAAATATAATACAAATTATAATGATAATAATAATAATAATTCATTGGTCTAGGTCGTGTTTCTCACTTTTGATCTTTTTTTCATTCTTGTATTTCTTTATTTTTATTATTATTATTATTATTATTATTATTATTATTATTATTATTATTATTATTATTTTATTATTTTTAGTACTCCTGTACTATTGTTATTTTTATTAATTTTATTATTATATTTTATTATTATTATTATTATTATTATTATTATTATTATTATTATTATTATTAATGTTATATTATTTTATTTTGGTGTATTTTTATTAAAATTTTTATTTACTATGAAAAATTATTATTATTATAATTATTATTACTATTACATTTTCGCCCTCCAGACCCTGATGTGTGTCAGTGATCTATGACCGGGTGGGCTAATCCCTGTTAAAAAAAATATGACCCCCAAAGAAAACTTTCGGTTTTCAGAGCTTTTCGGAATTTCGGATAAAGGGTTGTCAACCTGTACTTGTCCATCCATCCATACATCTGTTCACCCATCCATCCATCCATTTGTTCATCCATCTGTCCATCCATCCATCTGTCCAACCATCCATATGTCTGTTCATCCATCTGTACATCTGGTCATCCATCCATCTGTTCATGCATCCATCTGTCCATCCATCCATCCGTCTGTTCATCCATCCATCCATACTTACATCCATCCATCCATCCATAAGAACATAAGAAAATAAGGAGTCTGCAATAGGCCGGTTGGCCTGTGCATGGCAGCTCCTGTCGAGAGTTACTACCACTCTCTATCATCCATGAATCTATCTAGCCTCCTTTTGAAACTTTCCAGAGTTCCCGCACTTACTACAAAGTTGCTAAGCTTGTTCCACTCATCCACCACCCTATTTGTGAACCAGTTTCTTCCTATCTCCCTCCTAAACCTAAACTTATCCAACTTGAATCCGTTGCTCCGAGTCCTATCCTGCTCGGATATTATAAGAACTTTATCTATATCCCCTTTATTGATTCCTTTCACCCACTTAAATACTTCTATCATATCTCCCCGCACTCTTCGTCTTTCTAGGGAATGCAAGTTAAGTTTCTTTAACCTATCCTGATATGGAAGGTTTCTAAGTCCCTGAATCATTTTTGTCATTCTTCGCTGCACCGACTCTAGTGAATTTATATCCATTCTATAATAGGGGCACCAGAACTGAACTGCATAATCGAGGTGCGGCCTGACTAGCGCAAGATATAGTTGCAATAAGACCTCTGCACTCTTGTTACTTACACTTCTAGATATAAAACCCAATACTCTGTTTGCCTTATTTCGAACATTAACGCACTGTTTTCTAGGCCGTAGGTCCGTGCTTACAAGTACCCCTAGGTCTCTTTCACAAGTCGACTTCTCTAGGTTGATGTTGTTAAGGCTGTATACATTATAAGTATTTGTTCTTCCAATATTAAGTACGCTGCACTTGCTGGTGTTGAATTTAATTTGCCATTTTTCAGACCACCCCTGCAGTTTATTTAGATCCTCCTGTAATGCATTTGCATCCTGCCCTGAATTAATTTGCCGCCCTATTTTGGTGTCATCCGCAAACTTGCTTATGTCACTGCTGATCCCAGTATCTAGATCGTTTATGTAGATTATGAACAAGAGTGGGCCAAGTACTGACCCCTGGGGAACCCCACTGGTTACACGGCCCCACTCAGATTTAACACCATCTACGCTGACCCTCTGCATTCGATCGGTGAGCCATGATTTTATCCAATTTAAAACTTTCCCCCTCGATAACATGGGCCTTAATTTTTCTCAGAAGCCTCTGATGCGGTACTCTGTCAAATGCTTTGCTAAAGTCTAAGTAAATAACATCGTAATTTTCGTCATTATCTGCTACCTCGAAGACTTTCCTAAAAAACGTTAGCAGATTTGTTAGACATGATTTTCCCTTTGTAAACCCATGTTGAGAGTCGTAGATTAATTTGCTTTTCTCCAGATGCGATCGGATGCTATCTGCTATAATTGATTCAAGAAATTTCCCCACTACTGACGTCAAACTGATCGGCCGATAATTTGACGCTGATGCTCTGTCTCCCTTTTTGAATATGGGTACTACATTTGCCTGTTTCCACAAGTGTGGCACAACTCCAGTGTCTAATGATTTTGTAAATAAGTTTACGAGGGGTCCGCTAATCTGTTCCCTACACTCTTTCATGACTCGAGGGAAAATTTCATCCGGCCCTGGGGATTTTGTTTTCTTTAGTTTATTTATCTTCTTAAGAACATCCTCTTTTCTGATAGTGATATTCTTTAATTTCTCTTCTTCCTTTCCCTTAAATATCAGTTCCACCTCTGGAATTTCATCGCAAATTTCTTCTGTGAAAACTGATAAGAAGTAGCTGTTCAATGAACATCCCTCCACCTGTTCATTCTTCCATCCATCCATCCATCCATCTGTTCATCCATCCATCTATCCATCTGTTCATCAATCAATCAATCCATCCATCCATCCATCTATCCATCCACCCATCTGTTCATCCATACATCCATATATCCATCCATCCATCCATCCATCTGTTCATCCATCCATCCATCTGTTCATCCATCCATCCATCCATCTGTTCATCCATCCATCTATCCATCCATCCATCTGTACGTCCATCCATCCACCCATCTGTTCATCCATCCATCCATACGTCCATCCATCCATCCATCCATCTGCTCATCCATCCATCTGTTCATTCATCCATCCATCTGTTCATCCATCCATCTATCCATCCATCCATTCCTCCATCTGTTCATCCATCCATCCATTCCTCCATCTGTTCATCCATCCATCCATCCACATATCTGTTCAGTCCTTCATCCATCCATCTCTTCATTCATTCATTCATTCATCCATCCATCCATTCATCCATCTGTTCATCTATCTGGGGAAGTGTGGAGGGAGGAGGAGTGTGAAGGGATGTAACCATACAGTGGGACTGGGAGTGGTAGAGGTCAGTGAAGTGGAGGGAGTACTGGATGTTCCTGGAGGTGGGGAGGGCAGCAATCCTCTCTCCTCCACTTGCCACTCATCATTGTCATCATCATTACTTTCCTCCTGTTCAAACATGTAGTCCGGCGTCACTATCATTGTCATCACCTTCAGTATCAATATATGCCTCTGTCATTACCATGTTCATCTTCACCCCTACCAAATAATTCAGAGTACGTATATCTAATCCTGATTGAGTTACGTTCACTTTCCATGGCTATCGAGACTCTACTGCGTAGGTAGTAGGCAGATATCAAACAGGGAGGAAGATATTGGAAGCATAATGTGTTGTCTAATGGTAGACCCTGCTGCCATATGTAACCAAGACCCAGGTTGATGATCTGACTTTCTTCCTCATTTACACACAGTTGTAGGGTCTCAATTGTTTCCCTGACAACACAATATACAGTATGTATATCGTTTCTCACTATTGATTTTTGTTTTAAATTTTATATATATGGTTCTTTATTATTATTATTATTATTATTATTATTATTATTATTATTATTATTTATTATAATTTGTATTTATTTTTGTTAATTATTATTATTATTATTATTATTATTATTATTATTATTATTATCATTATCATTATTATTATTATTATTATTATTATTATTATTATTATTATTATTATTATTATTATTATTATTATTATTATTATTATTATTATTATTATTATTATTATTATTATTATTATTGCCTTTATTATATTTTCGTCCCCAGGCCCCGATGTGGGTCAGTGACCTGTGCCCAAATGGGCTAATCCCCATGAAAAAAAAGAGAGAAAAATAAAATTGTGGCCTCGACTGTGGGAAGAGATGAGGGGGGGGGGGGTTCCCCTCAATGCTGAGTGGTGGGAAAGGTTTACACAAGATGCCAGATACCAGTTAGTAAGTCACCACCAGCCAACAGATTATGGTAGCTAGACTCAGTTTCAAAGACTCAGGAAAAGTATATTTAGAAAACGTTCTAGTACATTAATGACCTGAGATAGTAACATCAGTGATCATGTACTTGAACATTAATGACCTGAGATAGTAACATCAGTGATCATGTACTTGAACATTAATGACCTGAGATAGTAACATCAGTGATCATGTCCTTGAACATTAATGACCTGAGATAGTAACATCAGTGATCATGTACTTGAACATTAATGACCTGAGATAGTAACATCAGTGATCATGTACTTGAACATTAATGACCTGAGATAGTAACATCAGTGATCATGTACTTGAACATTAATGACCTGAGATAGTAACATCAGTGATCATGTACTTGAACATTAATGACCTGAGATAGTAACATCGGTGATCATGTACTTGAACATTAATGACCTGAGATAGTAACATCAGTGATCATGTACTTGAACATTAATGACCTGAGATAGTAACATCAGTGATCATGTACTTGAACATTAATGACCTGAGATAGTAACATCAGTGATCATGTACTTGAACATTAATGACCTGAGATAGTAACATCAGTGATCATGTACTTGAACATTAATGACCTGAGATAGTAACATCAGTGATCATGTACTTGAACATTAATGACCTGAGATAGTAACATCGGTGATCATGTACTTGAACATTAATGACCTGAGATAGTAACATCAGTGATCATGTACTTGAACATTAATGACCTGAGATAGTATGACATGGATGAGTAACATCAGTGATCATGTGAACATTAATGACCTGAGATAGTAACATCAGTGATCATGTACTTGAACATTAATGACCTGAGATAGTAACATCAGTGATCATGTACTTGAACATTAATGACCTGAGATAGTAACATCAGTGATCATGTACTTGAACATTAATGACCTGAGATAGTAACATCGGTGATCATGTACTTGAACATTAATGACCTGAGATAGTAACATCAGTGATCATGTACTTGAACATTAATGACCTGAGATAGTAACATCAGTGATCATGTACTTGAACATTAATGACCTGAGATAGTAACATCAGTGATCATGTACTTGAACATTAATGACCTGAGATAGTAACATCAGTGATCATGTACTTGAACATTAATGACCTGAGATAGTAACATCAGTGATCATGTACTTGAACATTAATGACCTGAGATAGTAACATCGGTGATCATGTACTTGAACATTAATGACCTGAGATAGTAACATCAGTGATCATGTACTTGAACATTAATGACCTGAGATAGTAACATCGGTGATCATGTACTTGAACATTAATGACCTGAGATAGTAACATCAGTGATCATGTACTTGAACATTAATGACCTGAGATAGTAACATCAGTGATCATGTACTTGAACATTAATGACCTGAGATAGTAACATCAGTGATCATATTGAACATTAATGACCTGAGATAGTAACATCAGTGATCATGTACTTGAACATTAATGACTAGATAGTAACATCGGTGATCATGTACTTGAACATTAATGACCTGAGATAGTAACATCAGTGATCATGTACTTGAACATTAATGACCTGAGATAGTAACATCAGTGATCATGTACTTGAACATTAATGACCTGAGATAGTAACATCGGTGATCATGTAACATGACCTGAGATAGTAACATGATCATGTACTTGAACATTAATGACCTGAGATAGTAACATCGGTGATCATGTACTTGAACATTAATGACCTGAGATAGTAACATCAGTGATCATGTACTTGAACATTAATGACCTGAGATAGTAACATCGGTGATCATGTACTTGAACATTAATGACCTGAGATAGTAACATCAGTGATCATGTACTTGAACATTAATGACCAGCTGAGGGTTAATGACCAAACAAACACAAGTTCATGCAATAGGGAACACTAAGTTTGATTAAGAATCACCACTTTAAGACGTCTTGGTCACTATACAGTATTTTAAGAGGTATGATGATCTGGATGATGGCTGAACGTGAATTGATTTATGTGGTGAGGCAGGAGTGCAGGTTGCAGTCACACATCTTGGCTCTCCCTTTTCCTGATCCAGTGGTGCAAGTGTTGCAACGACTGGGGAGTGGGACATTTGCAATGGACTGCCAATAGCCTAGTTTGTTGGGTTTCGTCTTCGTAGCTTGTCTATCATGCATTGCCTTCGTACGCCCGTGTATTCATTGGGTTCCCATGGTGGTCACCTCTTCCGCCTATACTGCCGCTGGGGTCTTGCTGGAGCTCTGTAAGCATGTCTGCCTGATGCGAGGCTCCACTGCTGATTTTTCGTTTGGGGTTTACTCCTGTAGCCTTATCCCTACCAATGTTAATCCGCAAAACAGCAGGGCAGTGATTGGTAGGCACTAGGATGTGTCCACATGCCAGTGGGCCTATGCACCGTCCCCTTGGGGGTGTGAGGTGGTTTTTTATATCACACACAATTGTTTTAAATTAGTTTTTGGAACTCTTAAGTGGCAGGGCTGATGTAAACACTTATTCTGGAATTTCTTTATTACTGAAGCGTCTATCTACACAGATACAGTACTTAGTTTGGGAGAGAATGTATTGTGAATTCTCTCCAGGGGAAGTGTTTTGAGCACACTTTTATAGGAACACTTAAGTGAGGTGTTCACGCCCCTATAAGTGTTAAGATTCTGGCCTCCTCTCTCGCTCAGAGCGTGACAGAGTAGGAGGAACAGGTGAGGTGTTTTTAAATCAGTTTGACCTCTCTCAACCTCTGAGGGAGTTATAGACTCAGCGTGTATAACTACTGAGTCATTGTTGAATAACTTAGTGAATATTTTGGTGTTATGTATTTGGGTGAATATTTATATATTGCTAAAGGTGCTGTTACAGGGGACCACTGCTTGTCTAGTCTGGGCCCACGAGGCACCCAGTTACTGTGTGTTGCCACGAGGAGGCACAGCAGGAGTCTTGATTGTGTAGAGGCTGTGTACTGGCAGGAGAAGACTTGTGCAAGTTGCTTCCCTGTTCACCACGAGGGCCAGCCAGCGGCAGTAACTGAAAGAGAGAGGAAGCAAGCAGTGCTTGCACCTAAACACTAACATAATGCTGCCACACGATATGCATTACACAACCGTATGTGCATAACACACCACACACATATAGATAGTAAGCGTGTGGTCACTGCATCATCAGGTAAGACTGTAGATAACTCTTGTGTCTCTCTTGCAGTTATCTGTGAAGGCCGTCCCTACTGCTATGAGAATGTAGATACAACTCACCTAAATGCAATGCTGAATAGTAATGATGTTAGTGAATACCTGAAAATATCTCCAGATGGCTTACAGGTAAGAACGAGCTGTGTGTGTGTGTGTGCGTGCGTGCGTTCGCTCTACTAACTTATTAGTTTTTATTTCAGTTTTGACAATAGTAGGAGGTTTGTTCCTGTTGGACTGACCTTCAATGACCTTGTGGAGTAACAGACCTTACATGACCTTGTGGAGTGACTGACCTTACATGACGTTGTGGAGTAACAGACCTTACATGACCTTGTGGAGTGACTGACCTTACATGACGTTGTGGAGTAACAGACCTTACATGACCTTGTGGAGTGACTGACCTTACATGACCTTGTGGAGTAACAGACCTTACATGACCTTGTGGAGTGACTGACCTTACATGACCTTGTGGAGTAACAGACCTTACATGACCTTGTGGGTGACTGACCTTACATGACCTTGTGGAGTGACTGACCTACATGACCTTGTGGAGTAACAGACCTTGACCATGACCTTGTGGAGTAACAGACCTTACATGACCTTGTGGAGTGACTGACCTTACATGACATTATGAAGTAACAGACCTTACATGACCTTGTGGAGTAACAGATCTTACATGACCTTGTGGAGTGACTGACCTTACATGACCTTGTGGAGTAACAGACCTTACATGACCTTGTGGAGTGACTGACCTTACATGACCTTGTGGAGTGACTGACCTTACATGACCTTGTGGAGTAACTGACCTTACATGACCTTGTGGAGTGACTGACCTTACATGACCTTGTGGAGTGACTGACCTTACATGACCTTGTGGAGTAACAGACCTTACATGACCTTGTGGAGTGACTGACCTTACATGACATTATGAAGTAACAGACCTTACATGACCTTGTGGAGTAACAGACCTTACATGACCTTGTGGAGTGACTGACCTTACATGACCTTGTGGAGTGACTGACCTTACATGACCTTGCAGGATTAATCAAAAAGCAAAGTTCCATCTTACATTACAGGTATAGTCATGTGATGATCCCTTTTAGGTGGTCTCAGACACCTGTCACCTGTACCTACATCACTGTACATTGGTCCCAGACACCTGTCACCTGTACCTACATCATTGTACAGGTGGTCCTGGACATAATGGTTTAGACCTGTCGCCTGTACCTACATCACTGTACAGGTGGTCCCAGACACCTGTCACCTGTACCTACATCATTGTACAGGTGGTCCTGGACATAATGGTTTAGACCTGTCGCCTGTACCTACATCACTGTACAGGTGGTCCCAGACACCTGTCACCTGTACCTACATCATTGTACAGGTGGTCCTGGACATAATGGTTTAGACCTGTCGCCTGTACCTCCATCACTGTACAGGTGGTCCCAGACACCTATCACCTGTACCTTCATCACTGTACAGGTGGTCCTTGTAGCTCAACAGAAAGGGTTGGCTCCAGGTGCTGGTTGGTATTATACCGGGTGTCCCAATATAGATGTCCCAATATAAATGTTAATAACTCATGCATAATAATAATGGGACAAATTTCAAAGTGCAACGTGATCTGGACACATGTAAGTTTTGTTAGCAACTACTGGGTATTTCATTACTGTAATTCATATCACTGTGCACACCCATGGCCAACAAAAAGAAAATGCATGCAGTTTACCTGCGTCGCCATGATGTTTCTCAGTGTGTGCGCTGCCCTCACAATTCCCGAAAAGTATTTGGCACTATATCATGTAATACTGGAAAATACCAGAGTGTTTGTACTCTAACTGAGAAGCTCCTGGACAGAACTCTTCTCTCCTTAGACTGTAGAAGAAATGTGTAAAAGGTTCACATCAAACAGGTTACCTCTGATGTTGCTTCAAAGATCAGCAGTAAGAAGAGTCAACGTCCTGATGAGACTTTTCCAGAGACTCCAGGATAAGTGGCTGAAAGTAAAGGATAATATTGACGAGATACTCTCTGGAAGTTTGACTGAACTACTCAACCTGGATCTGAGCTGAATGATCAAACACAGAAAGTGTTGGAGTTTTACAACAACTGTCTCTCCAACATGACCTTTGAGAGGGAGACCTATTGGCAGGTGGTACAGCTCTGTGTTGTTTTCCTTGGTGGAATAGTTCCAAACTTCAGGTTCCATTTTTCTGGAGCACACCACTAGACTAGGCCCATGGCTCAGTCCATCTACTATCTGTAGCTAACCCTCCTGACCTTCCTGCCTGACACTGAGCAGATGGCATAGTTTGTGAGCTTTTTCCATGGTTATTGGAGGCTTAGGTGTGCTCATCCAGCTTGTGCCCCTGCCCCAGCACCCCTCAGGATCTGCTTGTCAGGCACCACATGTTGTGGGACAACTACCATCATCATCAGTTGTCTCAATAGTGTTAGGTGACACTTGTGATATCTCACAGAGGAACGTGTACCCCTCTGTCTGGTGGACAAGGAACTTCCTGGTGAGGAGAGGCTGTGGCAAAAGCTTTCTTTAGTCAGTTCAAACCTGACAAATTTCCTTCAGATAAACCAAAGTTCCCAGATATTGATGAAACCTTCTGGCTTGATAATGGCTCCAAGACAGGTTTGTCTCAGTTGATGGGCAACAACTCCAGGCTGCTCTTCTCCATCCTGAACATATCCTCCTCAGACCTGGATTGGCTCCAGTTTAACACCAATTGTTGGGACAATTTTTCTGGGTTCCAGAGGTTCAAAAGATTTGTCAGAGGATTAACACCAGTGAATGACCCAGCAGATTGCACCACCAAAAGTCTACCAGAATTTGTAGGAAGGAGCAGTGATGAAAATTTGAGGCAGGACTTAGTTTTGGCAATTGGCTCTGATAGGAAATCCATAGAAATAAGACCAAGTATGATATGTCTCATATTTATTTGTTTTCAGGTAATTTGTTTCCAAAACAATCCTGGTTCTTTACAGTGTCACTTATTTTGACAGTAATAAGTGTGTCCAGCACAATATGAAGTGTTTCACATATGGCTCAATTAGTGAAATACTGTAGGTACTGGAGCTAACCCTTCCTGTTGAACTAGAAGGCTAGAATTTTGTGGGGGAGTTACTGGATACTATTGGAATGGGGAATGGTGGAGAGCTCACCCAAAATACGATTTTGGGTTCTTTTGAAACACCTTATTGTACATGTGATGCAGGACATATTGGTTTCCACCTGTACTTTCACCCAGGTAAATTGTCAACAGGATCATGCAAAAATATATTCACAAAAGAAGAGAAAGATATTTTACACTTCTCTCCATCTGTCCTTGGATTACCTGATGAGATGTTTAGCTGTTTGGGTTTATTTTTACACCAATAGGGACAGAAGTGTCTTACAACTCACAAGTTATTACAGGGTACTTAATATTTTATTAAAGTAGGATTATAAACGAGTGTTTTGATGTATGTTTTTGTTATGAGTTAAACATCTTTTGGCAGGCGCGCTGTGATGCATCATCCTTCGAAAGTGTTCGATGCACTTTCCAAGTAGACTCCGGAGTGTGGTACTACGAGGCCACCATTGTAACAGCTGGTGTCATGCAGATTGGCTGGGCAACTAAAGACAGCAAGTTTTTGAACCATGTATGTACATTTTGGTGTTTATTTTGAATTACTGTATTTGGTTTAATCATATAAGTATTGTGCTTGATGTAATGCATGATGGCGGTGAAGCTTTGATTCTTACTATTGAACACCTGA